TACGAGGGTAAATAAGAGTGGTTGGGCTGGCTTGCTCGGTAACGACTTGGGCACAGGGGTGGGCCGACAAACACACGAAGACACCGCTTGCTCATTGATGTTGTCCGGTATGTTGGATTGAGGGGAGGGTAGGTTCCAATTGGTGTTCAATTGTATACACAACCATACCCACTCATCATACATCTGCAACATCGTCTTTTTGTATCTTTGATTAGTTGGTGGACAGACTGCTAACACCTCATAGACAGATCAGATTAGGACTATTGTATACTACCATAGCCAGTTCTGTCTAATGCTGCTGTAAGAGAACCAATCAGGATACATCTAGACTATGTTGACAATCTGTTGTGAATGTTGTAGATTGCCACTTGATCGGTACAGTAGGAGACCTGCCGGACACAACTATTTTTAGAAAATTAGGTGCCCGTCAGACACATGCTGAGGTAGGACTCCACTAGGGGGTTCTAGTGTAGATAATGTTTGCCTAATTCATGAATGGGTCAGACATCGATGAGGAGGCAGTTGACGATGCAAGACTAACACGTTCGAGATCACATAGGATCCCGCACGTGTTCCAGGCCCTACAACCGGAAGACGAAAGACAAATTTGTGCCGAACGCAGAGCCCGTGCTCTCGCAGCATCGAGAGAGGCAGCAAACGTTGCAGCTAGGGAACAGGCTGCAGCAGCAGCCAGGGCAGCAGCCATGTCTTCTGCAGTWGCATCCTCTGCTACATCTTCTGCTGTGTCCTCGTCTGGACCGCAGTTGGGAATGCCAACAGGGTCCACGGGTACTTCCAGTTCAGTAGGATCTCGTCCGTCTACAAGTCAAATGACGGGCTCGCAGTTCAGCCCGTTGACTCCTCGCGAAAGGGAGCTCAGGGAGCTCCAACAGGTCGAAAGGATCCGTGAATAGTTAAAGAGGGACCTGAAGAAAGTAACCGATAGAGAAAGAGAGATTAAAAATAGAACAGCCAGGCTTGATACTTTAGAGGTTGACAAAGCTGAGTTAGAGGGCTTGGATGAGTCAGCATTGTCTGACCAAATGAAAATATTGAAGCACAATATGTTGTCGCTGCATGCGCACGTGGACAGCAGATTGGACTTCATGCAGGGCACTCGTGACCAGATCCTGGATGTTCTGACAAGGACAGGATTAGGCCACCAGCACAATCGTCGTTGCCGTTAACTGCGATGTCAGGCCCCTTTCCAGTTCAAGCTGGCACACAACCAAGTGGCACGTCTGCAGCAGCTGCACAGACTGTTGCATCTTCTTCTTCGGGTCCAGCGGTGGTTGCTACACCACAACAACAATCTGTTCCGCAACAAGGACAGCCGCAGGGTCAATGGTTTCCTAAGACACCAATGAAACCGCCTCTTGCCTTCTCAGACGAGAGAAAGGACGAAGAACTCAACACTCGGTTGAGAACAGTCCCGGTTTGGGTGAAGGCAAAGAGGACCTTGCTGGAGGACGAAGAAGGCAACCAAATGGCTAGACGGTGTAGTTGTGAAGGTCCGGTACGGACGACGTATGGCGGACTGGGCTAAGTCACTTACGTTAGACCAGTTCATGGAGATGGTAGAAGCTCGATGGCATAATCCACAAGAGGCACAAAGAGCCACTGATGCGATCAATAGACTAGACCAACAAGTCGGTCAGAGAGCTTACGACTACCGTGGAGAGCCTGATCCTCGTCCCTGGCATCAACTATAGTGACCAGTTCCTGTTAACTACGTTTATTAGATGTCTTCCAGAGAACATCAGGAACTTGCTGGCCAGCGAGGCCCGCCCCGAGTACCATTCGTTTGAAACATTGTCTAGGAAAGCCTTAGATTTGGAGGCCACTCTAGGCAATGCTCAACCCTCCCAGAATGACACGAAGAAGAAGAAGAGTCCGCAGGAGTGGAAGAAGAAAGGGGCCAAGTTGATGATGGTTGAGTCCAATGGGACTTAAACATATCGATGAGCTCACCGACCTGCTGGACACTTCAGAGTACGACGACGAGGAGGTAGCTGAGGATCGCACCCTCGCCGCAGTAGTTAAGGCTAAGGCTGGTGTCCGAGTGAAGGGCCAACCAAAGAGTCAAGGGAAGGCCGCCTCCAATCAGACCAAACTGGCTGATTGGGTGAAGGCAGGTCATGATCAAGAAGTGTGGCGGGACCGCCGAGTGCGTGGTGCTTGAATCAACTGTGGTGAATATGGACACACCCAGTACAAGTGCCAGAACGCTAAGGTCACGCAGAAGATACCTCCTAAGATGGGGGCATCTTCTTCCCAGGCTTCTAGCTCGGGAAACCAATGAGGCCGGTGGAAGTTTTAGCTGCTTCTACTCAAGATGAAGTAGGCCCGATACCCTCCCCAATTCATGGGAAGGCCAAAGCTAACGACCCTTTAGTCACCCCGCAGATTCATCTAGACCAAACTATGCTCTGTACGTTAGATGTGTCTGAAGCCTTAGAAGACTTGGAGAGTGAGTGGTCAAACAAGGACCCTCGCGAGTCTTGGGGGACGCTAAGGAAAGGTCCTAGAGCAGAACATTTCGTGGTGGAAGTCGATGTAGGAGGCCGCAAATGTGGTGCCTTCATAGATATAGGCTCCATGCGGAATTACATAAGGCACGACTGTTTGGAAAGGCTGCACCTACAGGACCGGGTACAGCACCTTAGTAGACCTGTAGCATCTACTTTGGCCAACAAGGAGCGCATGATTGTAACAGACTATATCAAGGACGTAGTCTGTACCTTCTCCTATGGACGAGGAGAACTTAATCATAAGATTTCGTTCTTGGTTAGCGACGACTTACCATTTGACATGTTGTTAGGCATGTACTACCTTGAGGTTGCTAAGCCCCAATTTGACAGGGATAAGAAGGTGCTAAAGCATAAGTTGCCCGATGGCAGAACAGTCAGATTGACTAAGTTCAAAGCCAGTAGCATTATAGATACCTATGGCTGCTTGTGCGCATCAGCGTTCTACAACTATTATAAGCAGAATCAAGAGGAAGGTATGTACCTAGTGTATGTCTCTGAGAAAGAGGAGGTCGTTAAAACACCCCCAAAGATAGAACGTGTCGTTGCGAAGTTCCCTGATCTGTTCGAAAAACCTACAGGGGTCGTAGAAAGGGAAGTTGTCCACGCTATAGAAATCATTCCAGGGAGTAAAACCCCAAAGGGAAGGATCTATAGGATGGCTCCCGCCGAGTTAGATGAACTCCGGCGACAACTGAAAAAGCTGACAGAGAAGGGATGGATTCGGCCTAGTACTTCCCCTTACGGATCTCCCGTGCTATTCGTACCTAAGAAGGGGGGTACATTGAGGATGTGCATTGACTATAGAGGCCTCAATGYCATCACAGTGAAGAACGCAGAGCCTCTACCTCGCATAGACGACCTACTGGATAGGGTGCAGGGATGCAAGTACTATACAAAGATAGACTTGAAATCCGACTATCATCAGATCGCTATAAGACCTGAGGACCAACACAAGACAACTTTTCAGACACGTTATGGTTTGTATGAGTTTGTAGTGATGCCCTTTGGTCTTTGCAATGCGCCGGGAACATTCCAGCACGYTATGAATCGGATCTTCCATGACCATTTAGATAAGTTTGTCGTGGTCTACCTAGACGACRTTCTGATCTTYAGTAAGTCTGTCGAGGAGCATGCACAGCATGTTGAGACGGTACTTTCACTCCTTCGACAGCACAAGTATAAGGTCAACTTAGAGAAGTGTGAATTCGGTCGCACTAAGATATTATACTTGGGTCATGAAGTATCCGCGGAAGGGATTAGGCCGAAAGATGCGAAGGTGGCTAGTATACGCAACTGGCCACGACCTCAGACAATCACTGAGGTCAGATCTTTCTTAGGAATGTACGGCTATTATAGGAACTTCGTCAAGAACTATTCTACACTCGCCTCTCCTTTGACTGGTCTAACTCGACTTGACACGTCGTGGGACTGGAGTGATGAGTGCGAGGGTGCTTTCAAGAGATTGAAGCATGCACTCATGAATCATGAGGTCCTCATGGTTCCCGATCCTCAGAAGCCATTCACCACTGACGCAAGCCAATACGACATTGGCGCAGTGCTGGCTCAACAGGATGGGAAAAAGTTGAGACCGATTGAGTACATGAGCAAGAAGATGCCATCAAAGAAATTGGCAAAGTCCACCTACGAAAGGGAACTCTATGCTCTATATAAAGCATTTGTCCATTGGAGACACTTCCTATTGGGAAGGTTCTTCTACTTGAGGACTGATCATCAGACCCTCAAATGGATCAAGACTCAATCGGCTCTTTCTGATGCACTCAAGCGATGGATTGAGATCATAGATCAATATGACTTCAAGCTTGGGTATCTGAAGGGAGAGTACAATAAGGTTGCAGATGCGCTATCACGTAGGGCAGACTACCTAGGTGCGCTAGTTTCCGACTTTGGCATAACTGATGAAGTAACTCAATCGTTGGTAGGAGCCTATCAGGAAGACCCTGTCACGATGGACATCATTCGCAAACTTCAGGCAAAAGACAAGGCCACAGAGAGTGAGTTTGTGATGGTGGACGGGCTTCTCTATCTTGATAAGGCCAGAATAAAAAGATTTGTAATTTCATCTAGTGAACGTTTGCGTAGTTTATTTCTAGGAGAATGCCATAACGCAACCGGGCACTTTGGCTACAAGAAGACGAGTGTTAATCTAGTACAGCGATTTGGTGGCCTGGAATGTTAGATGACGCAAAGAAGTACGTAGAGACCTGTCAGGTCTGTCAGCGGGACAAGCCGCGAACTCAAGCACCACTTGGGTTGTTGAAGCCCTTACCTATCCCCGCTGGTCCAGAACAGGGTGTTTCCATGGATTTCATGGATACCCTGGTGCCAGAGACCGCAAGGACTGACCATGTCATCAAGTTGTTCAAGGACAACTGGGTGCATGACTTTGGTTTACCAAAGACCATCGTTAGTGACAGAGATGTCCGCTTCACAAGTGAGCTATGGAAGAAGATTGCTGAACAGATGGGCAGTCAACTTCAGATGACTTCACGGAATCATCCCGAAGCCAACGGACAAGCCGAACAAATGAACAGAGTTGTTCAACACTTGCTAAGGCATTACATCAAGCCCAGCCAGGATGACTGGGATGAGCAATTGCCTCTCATCGCCTACATGTACAACAATGTTGTACACAGCAGTACCGGCGTTAGTCCTAACCAGCTGCACTTGGGATGGAAGCCTAGATCCACCCTAGACTTCCTCCTACCTGAAAACCAACCCGCTGCAACTCCAGGCACACTCGAGTATGGTGTGCCGTATGAGAAGTTGCTGCAGGAAGCTGTCGAGCATATGAAGAAAGCTCGCCAAGCAATGATTGCTTCTGAGAATCAACATCGTAGACAGTCCTCATTTCAGGTAGGGGAACGAGTTTGGGTCAAGGCTAGTGAGCTAGGACAAGAATTCGGAATCTCTCGTAAACTAATGCCTAAGTATTTTGGTCCATGGGAAGTCCTGGATATAGTGGGAGATGAGATGGATGGTTCCACATATGTCATCCGTGTCCCTGGACACCTACACACTTACCCTGTCTTTCATGCCTCAAAGCTTGCACCTTTCGCTGAGACAGATCGATTCCCTTCCAGGAGATCGATGCTGCCCCCAACCATGGATGGTCAAGTGGACATCGACGACATTGTGGATCACAGGGACATGCCTGTTCCAAAGCCGCTGGGCCGAGGAAGAGCTCCCAAGCCCAAGAGAGAGTACCGCGTCAGATTTAGGCATCACACGGATCCAAAAGAAGATCGTTGGTTTACTAGAGAGGAACTGATTGAGACAGCTCCTCAGGTGGTGGCATATTATGAGAGAAAGCTGAAAGGGAAGGCACCTGCGAAGTAAGCATCTCAACGGACTTTCGAAGCTAAGGGGTGGAGGAGACGTACCTGGTGGAGGTGGAGGTCGGCATTGGTGTTGACATCATCACTCGCTGGTCGTCAAGTTGTCTGGTTGCTTCGTAGCTGTAGTTGTAGAGATAGGCTGTAGAGTAGGTAGGGCGCCTGGCGCCATTCAAGAGAGAGAGCTACATTGAGTTATGCTGTTGGTGTTGCCCTGTTGGGCTTGGACATTGACTCACGATTCTTTTGTATCATTCTCAAATGGATGGTTACTCTGTTCCATTGTGCTATCTACTCTTGCTTTGACTACTTGGACTTCAGTGTGATTTTGCAATCTGGATTTCTGTGCTTCGTCCATACTCATGTTCCTTGCACAAATCATCCAACCAATAAATTAGTCAATCAATCACAACACACAACCCTACCTGTTTCGGTCAATCAATCAATCAACCAATAAATCAGTCAATCAATCAAAAATTCAAAACATACAACACACACGCATGCACCCCCCCAACACACACGCACACAGGCACGTACACACACAGGGGGAGAGGGGCGGCATTGGGCGGGCTATTCGCCCCGAATGCCAATACTATTTTTTTGTTTTGCTAATGGGGGCATTGGGGAGGGGGAAGCACAACCCCCCCGCCATACAACTCAAAAAAAAAAACGAAAACACATTAGAACAAAAGAAAAAAAAAACTCCAATATCGGCCTTCAGCCGAACGCCCTGGCAGGGGGGGGAGCCAACGTTCGCCCATTCCGACGAACTGTTCGGCCGGTGCTGAATGCCAGTACCCCTGGCTGCAAGTTTGAAGCACCTAGAACATGGATACTCTCTGGCCATGTCTGCATGAGTTTATTTTTCTTTTTGGAAGAAGGGAGGCGGGGGACAAAGTCAGCCAAGTGCAAAATCAAGTTTTTAAACAACCAGTACTTCCAAGGCACTTTTCTCCGGGGCTGGAAATGGCATGCACCCCAAAGAAAAGGAAACCGGCGCAGACCTCCTTTTGGCTGGCGCCGCAAGCCATTTTTCTCCACAGGCCAGGCCCCAAAAGTTGCAGCTGTATACGCACAGCACATTTGATTTCTTAGTTGGGAAAAGTACTGGTGGTCTAAAAGCAAAACAAGTTAAACAACTCTTGTCAGCAGCTTTGTTCTGGCCTAGGTTTAGGCAGCCAAGAAAACTCGGATAATTTTCTTCAGCCTTGCAGTTTCGTCACCAGATTTGCTCGCGCCTGTCAATGGCCGGGTCGATGGAGAGTAAATCAGGTCCAGACCTGGTCACGGCCACCAGACGTCATCCAGGCACTGTTCATTTTCCAAGCAAGTGAAACACACACACACACACACACACACACACACACACACACACACACACACACACACAAAAGTCTGTGAATCCAACGTAACAGTCTGGTACAGTCTTGCTTTTTTTGTGGATTTGTGTTAAGCCAACATGACAACACACACACACACACACACACACACACACACACACACACACACACACACACACACACACACGCACGCACAGCCACGAGAGTACAGGAAAAATGAGGGTTTCCATCTAAGGAACTGCTATGAAAGCAGTCAACTACCTTCCTCAGTAGAATTCCGAGAGCATAATGACGAATGAATAACCTACACTCAGAATCGTCACCTGACAATATTTCAGCAGATGCAGTACCCAGGGCTTGATCCCTAGACCTCCCCTTCACCGGTGTACAGTACCCGCTGACCTGTGTGTGTTTGAACCCGTGACCTGTGTACTGAAGGTCGTATGTTTAGCTGTTGTATGTAGTGTGGTTGCTGGGTCTTGAGCCGTAGGTCTACGTGTTAGGAGTCTTAGCAGTGGTCTAGGTCGTAGCTGCTACAGTCTTGAAGAGTCAAGTCCACAGCCTTCCAGAACTTCCGGAAGTGGCAATTCGCAGGTCCTAGGAGTCAGTCCGCGTCTGAGTCAGCAGAGGGCAGTCCTAGCACAGTCAGCAAAGGCAGTCCTAGATCTACTTAGTCCAGTCACCGGTACCCAGTCCCAAGGTGCACTTTGTCCAGTCAGCAAGTACCATGTGGGACTGTGCACAGCCTGGGCCCAGGGTCAAAGGGCAGACCCTCGACAATTCAAAATAAAGACGCAGCATCAAGTCATTCATTCATTCTGCCTGTGAGCTGTGCGGAAGAGCTGCCTGTGCGTCTTGTGTACAGAGGCCTGCAGGTGCCCGGAGAGGAAGCGTGCTAGGAGGGAGGAAGCCGCGGCCATACCCACTTGTGTTAGTAGAGGTAGAAGACGGCAGCCATAGCTGCCCGTAGGTTAGCAGTAGCGTGTTAGTCTGTGTGCGTGAGCGTGTTGTGTGTATGTGTGCGGGACATCCAGGGAGATGCAGAGTTGCGTGTGTGTGAGCAAGTTGCTGGGGATACAGTTGATCGGGGTGAAGGTTTGTCTGGCGCATTGGCGCCTTAGCCGATCGATACAAGTTTGAATCTGAACTGTGTTCTTGGCCTCGTTATCTCTGAGCTTTGTGTGGGCGCTGTAGCACCAGTGTGATCGCCATCTGTTCGCATGCATGTGAAATGTCGAAGAAGACGAGTCTGATTTCACTGGTATCGAAGAGGGTTCCCGCTGTCCCGACCGCCGGAGTTGCGATCGCCGCTGCGGCGTCATCGCCTGGGTTGCCATCTCGATGGTCGTTGTCATCGTTGTCACTATCTTCAGGTGCTGAAGAAAGAAGGTGTGCCACCGCCAGCTGGAAAGACAGGTGGTGAGCGCCACATCAGCACCAGGTGCCACGTCGATATCAGCGCCATCGCGCGGAGGTGGAGAGACGCACGCCGTTGTGAGCAAGTGCCCCACTACCGCCGCCCGCCAAGCCACTACCGCGCACCCACGCCCGCTGCTACGCGCACCGCTCCGCTGTGTCGTTCCCACTGCGCGCCGAGATTGCGTGATAAGCGAGCTGTTATTTCCCACCCGCTGCCCGTTGTTGTGCGCGCCCTGCTGCTCATTGTGCGATGCTTTTCGCTGTTGTCACCCGCTATTCGCCCGTCGTAGCTGCACCTGCGCTCCGTGGGTGGGCGCTCTCCATCTGCGCCACCTATTGACGAAGACTGTCGCACGAAGTAAAACAAGGCCGCAGCATGAGGACGAAGGCCGTTGCCCGCATGGTTGATGACCGCTGTCGAGGAAGGAGAAGGCTGCTGTCCAGTGGCAAAGAAGATCACCGCGCCATTGGAGAAAACCGCCACGCCAAGTAAAAAAAGGGCGGCCATAGCCGCCGGACCGACAAAGAGGAAACGACAACGACGAGAGAGAGAGAGAGAGAGAGAGAGAGAGAGAGAGAGAGAGAGAGAGAGAGAGAGAGAGCGAGAGAGAGAGAGAGAGAGCAACAAGAAGGTGGCGGCCATAGCCGCCAAGCTCGGACCTTGCAAAGAAGGAGGTCAGAAGTGACGAAGACGAGAGAGAGAAGAGGAAGGAGGAAGGAGAGAAGGAAGAAGAAAGAAGCCATAGCCCAGGGTCGGGCAAGAAAAAGAGAGAAGGGGGAAGGAGAGAGAGAGAGAGGTTGGCGAGAGAGAAGGGTCGGCCGCCATAGCCGAAGGTCGGAGCATTGACCGGCGACGTTGACCAAGGCGTTGACCGAATATGACCAGAGGTTTGTCCGGCGTTGACCAGGGCCGTTGACCAAGATTTTGACCAAGCTGGAGTTGGTATCATCTCGCCAAGTCCTGAGTCTACCCCCTCGCCCTGTGGATGTGCATTACCCCTTGGTACTTGCTGAGTCGGTCTGCCTCTTCTTTCTGCATCGAGTCACTCTGTGCACGAGGTCATAGAGCTCTGGTGACCAAACCTGCACAGGCTGAGTACGGCTAAAGGCCATGTCTGACGACTGACACGTTCCGGGGACAAGATCCCCAAGGACCGGTACAGACCGACGGGCTGCTCATGGTAGGCCAGAAATCCGAGCTGTAGGCTGTGCATCCGGCTGTCCAAGTGTTGAGAGGACTCTGCTGATCACTTCTTCCTGAGTGCGACGTTAAGGAATTCTTGAGGAGTTATGGGGGATCTCCTTAAATGCCTCTTGATCAGCAGTGGAGATTCTGTAGTGACAGCCTTAGAGTAGGTCAGGCTAGTGAACCTAGTTGACAGGGTCTGATCCAGAGTGAAGGCCAGGTGGGATTGATCGCTGGAGCAAGGTGCACCGGGATCTGGAAAGTTTCAGTGACAATGGAGGCAAAAGCTTTCGTCAGCTGTGGTAACCTGGCTGGATTAGAGGAGAAGACTTTGCGGTCCTTTAGAGCGTCAGTCGGTCAATAGTTAATTATTGGGTGGAAGCCTAAGTGGTGATAAGTGGAACTGTGACCACGAGGGCAGGAACGAGCACCACCCCTTATAGTTAAGCTCAAGAAGAGCAAGTCGCTGCCCTCCTAAAAGAGAGAAGAATAGATGGAGAGGAAGGAGCTTATTAAGCAGGTGAAGATGTTGGCCTTGATGTCAGAGCAGAAGGCCAAGGAGAAGCTGGAAAAATGGAAAAAGGAGCAGGAGGAGAAATTGGCAGCGGTAGAGGTAGAAGCAAAATCCGAAGCAGAAAAAGAAGAAGCAGAAAAAGAAGAAGCAGAAGAAGAAGAGAAACCCCTACAGAGAAATGTAAGGAGAGAAGAGAGAGGAGAATCCAGTGGGGCGCAAGAGAGCGAAGCCAAGATAGAGAGGATGGTGAACTAGTGGGTAGCCAATCTGACACTGGGGGAAGAAGAAGAGGACATCTTGATTGTTCCCCAAGCAGAAAGGGAGGCGGTCTTAAACCACAAGTACCTCGCCCAACTTGAAAAAGCCGACGCGATCATTAACGCGCCGCGTCAGGCAGGGTACCCACCGGCGAACGACCGGTATTCCCAAAAAACAGGACAAAAAAAAAAACATCGACGAGAATGATAGGTAACGAAGGAAAAAAAAAACGGGCGCGGCGGGGGGCTGAGGTGGGGGAAGAATGAGAGAGAGAGAGAGAGGGCGTCAAAGAGTGTCTGACGTCGAGTTTAGTGTGCCAAACTCGCCTCTCTCTCTCTCTCTCTCTCTCTCTCTCTCTCTCTCTCTCTCTCTCTCTCTCTCTCAATGTCCATATAAGAGTGACTCTTCCGCGTTATCGCGGAAGAGTCGCTCTTATATGGACATTGAGAGAGAGAGAGAGAGAGAGAGAATTAGAGGGCGCGACCTATGAAAAGAACGGGCCAAAAAAAACGCGCAATTTGTTTCAGGCGCATCTGCCCATATTCTAGTGGGAAGTTCATCCTCATTTTGCACATTCGAGAGTTGTGGGGGGGGATGCGCAGTGTCCGTTGCACTCGGCGTGAGAGAGTCTGACTTGTGACGCTCAACCTCACGCCCTGCGCTGCTTTCCGGTCGAAGTGTTTTGGTTTGT